CTGTATTTTCGAGATTTCGTTTCTTGAATACTGGAAAGATAGCAGCAATCAGAGACCTGTTAGTCGTGGGTAATAGGCAAATTGGCAGAAGACAATGAGCTTTAAGGGGATATGCTAGTAATGGAACAAGTTGGCTGGAGGAAAGGTTTGTTTTTTCAATCAGTTTTGTTTATATGAAAGTTGCGTACAGTAAGTACAGTAGATTTAAAGGCCATGATTGAGCTGAATGATTCTTAATCATTATTCATTTTGAAACAAAGTTTGGATAAACATTTTTTGCAAATATCATTGTGGTTATACCATTTGATGTGAACTTACCTTGAGAAAAAAATCCTTGTATGTCATAAAGGTCACATCATCTGACATGTTTAACTCATGCTGGTTATACCACACACTGTGCTTTGGTGGACGTTTAATATTAATGCTTTTAAATATGATTATTATTTCTTCTCAAAGTTTTGTTTTAACACACTTTAATATAATAATAATAACAATAATAATAATAGGCCAAACTACTCATTAAAATAAATCATTGTACCCTTTTAGTGTGATGTTCATTAAGATCTCAGGATGGTCACCTTGACATTTATGCCCCATAAAAATATTAAAATAATTTTTGGTTGTAAGAAACTCTTCTTTTTCTTTCATGACATAAGACAGACAGTTGAGTATGCATGTAGTGATTAATTTCTAATGAGAGTTTGAGGCCTGCATGATGCCAGCTTTGCCCATGGCAACTCAGTTCTGAAATCTAAGCCCAGTCACTTGGAGATGAGGAAATTTAGTTTGGAGCCAAAGGAAAACAATGTCTTGACAAGAATATGTACAGCACATGGGCTGTGACATCAAAGGCAGCAGTCAAGGAAAATATCCAAGTGCATTTCACGCTTTTAGGAGCCTTCTCTTTTTAAAATACTATGGAAGTCAATGCTACCATCGAGCGTTTCATTACCCACATTCTTTAAAATACCTTCTTCTGTGTGCAAGAGAAGAAATAACTGGTTTGGAACAACATGAGGGAGAATAAATGATGAAAAGCAATATTAAAATAATATTAAAAATATTAAAACTTCCAAATTGGTGGAAATTTTACATGCAATTCAAATGCATACAGTACATCTTACATTTAGGCCTAATTATTTTTGTCGCCAGATTGGTGTAGCCCACAATAATCAGCCAAATCTTGTCCTTATTGACTGGGAAACCTCCAGTGTCCGTGTGAACACCACTTTAAGGTCAGCAGAACAAAGAAGGAGTGTAATTCTACCTAAATGAAAACTTTGCCTACATTTGTTTGATGTCCGTCACTCTACACCTGTCATGTGCAATAACTTGCATTTTTACCGCAGTATAACCATTTGCGCTGACACTGGATATGAACGCCATTAACACAACAAACACCATTGTCTGGAGACGTCGTAAATCATGCACCTGCAGTCAGAGCAGCTGCTGCAACAAAGGACGAGCTCGAGAGATGATGACTTATCAAACATTCCTTTTCTTGAAGTGGTTCGTGTAAGCAGGTGCATGTAAGGACGCTGAACTGGCTGTGGTTTTTGACTTTTAAAGGGCTGAGGAAAAATGGGAGGACACCTTCTTCAAAACCCCCAGCTATGCTTAAAAAATCCTTGTATGTCATAAAGGTCACATCATCTGACATGTTTAACTCATGCTGGTTATACCACACACTGTGCTTTGGTGGACGTTTAATATTAATGCTTTTAAATATGATTATTATTTCTTCTCAAAGTTTTGTTTTAACACACTTTAATATAATAATAATAACAATAATAATAATAGGCCAAACTACTCATTAAAATAAATCATTGTACCCTTTTAGTGTGATGTTCATTAAGATCTCAGGATGGTCACCTTGACATTTATGCCCCATAAAAATATTAAAATAATTTTTGGTTGTAAGAAACTCTTCTTTTTCTTTCATGACATAAGACAGACAGTTGAGTATGCATGTAGTGATTAATTTCTAATGAGAGTTTGAGGCCTGCATGATGCCAGCTTTGCCCATGGCAACTCAGTTCTGAAATCTAAGCCCAGTCACTTGGAGATGAGGAAATTTAGTTTGGAGCCAAAGGAAAACAATGTCTTGACAAGAATATGTACAGCACATGGGCTGTGACATCAAAGGCAGCAGTCAAGGAAAATATCCAAGTGCATTTCACGCTTTTAGGAGCCTTCTCTTTTTAAAATACTATGGAAGTCAATGCTACCATCGAGCGTTTCATTACCCACATTCTTTAAAATACCTTCTTCTGTGTGCAAGAGAAGAAATAACTGGTTTGGAACAACATGAGGGAGAATAAATGATGAAAAGCAATATTAAAATAATATTAAAAATATTAAAACTTCCAAATTGGTGGAAATTTTACATGCAATTCAAATGCATACAGTACATCTTACATTTAGGCCTAATTATTTTTGTCGCCAGATTGGTGTAGCCCACAATAATCAGCCAAATCTTGTCCTTATTGACTGGGAAACCTCCAGTGTCCGTGTGAACACCACTTTAAGGTCAGCAGAACAAAGAAGGAGTGTAATTCTACCTAAATGAAAACTTTGCCTACATTTGTTTGATGTCCGTCACTCTACACCTGTCATGTGCAATAACTTGCATTTTTACCGCAGTATAACCATTTGCGCTGACACTGGATATGAACGCCATTAACACAACAAACACCATTGTCTGGAGACGTCGTAAATCATGCACCTGCAGTCAGAGCAGCTGCTGCAACAAAGGACGAGCTCGAGAGATGATGACTTATCAAACATTCCTTTTCTTGAAGTGGTTCGTGTAAGCAGGTGCATGTAAGGACGCTGAACTGGCTGTGGTTTTTGACTTTTAAAGGGCTGAGGAAAAATGGGAGGACACCTTCTTCAAAACCCCCAGCTATGCTTTGAGCAGTAACGTGAAACCTACACGACGTCCCGTCTTACAAACAGAAATTATGGCTGGAATTCTGCTTAGAATAAAGAAACTCCCTGAGAAGAAATTCAGTCTGCAGTGAGTCATCTCATCCTTATTTAATTACAGTGATTGTAGGAGTAATTTATGAGGCTGTTATAATATGCTTTTCAGAAGCCTTCTTACCAAAGCTCGCACAAGAATGTGCTAGTGAGTCCTTTACAAGGCAGTCCCTCGTGTTACTTCCCAGAGTTCCCACAATAAAAAAGCAACAGTTATCCGACACTCAGTCATATATGAGTGTCAGTGGTCTCATTCTAAAACATGTCGCTATTTTATGGGTAATAAGCAGACCTACATGGCATCTGCACCCACAGAACTCAGTAAAAAGCACAGCAAAATAAAACAAATTGTCATTCACAACGTTCTACAAATCTCCCTCCCCTCGTTAATGAAATATTTTGGCTAATTGAATCAAGGTCTCAGGTACCAATGAGAGTGAATACTCTCTGTACTTTCTAACATACTGAAAAAAATTGTCAAATTAACTGGTTTTATTCAAGTAAAAAAATAAATTAACATCATTAATTTTACCTAAATGCATTTATACCAACAAAATTAATTTGAATGTGTGAAATCAGGTAGAAATAGCTCTTTAAGGTAACAATGGCAAGTTATCACTGTTTTATGTGGTAAATATTAAGCAAAAGTAATATTTTAATACAAATGCAAGATGCATGCAGCAAAAAGGCCTCCGGTATCCAGATGAAATTTTATGATGAAATCATAGATTTAAAAGTCAAATCAAGATTTACAGACAGGAACTGGAAGAGAAAATTAGAATAGAAGTAGATCAGAGAGAAAGTTTAATGTCTGGAACTACTAAAGTGGATAGTTTTTCATAATGTGCCTCTGATTATGACTTAATTATGGCTGGGTTGAGCTGCCACAAACATAAGCTCAAGAGATACACAGCAAACAGAACCGAAAGACAGAGATATAGGAGAGAGTCATGCTGCATGGTGCCAGAGATATAGGAGAGAGTCATGCTGCATGGTGGGCTGTCAGACCATATGCTTTCATGATTCAAGCTCCAAATACCACACAATTAACTACAACTGCACTAAAGCTGATCTCCAGTCAGTTAGGGGATAAACTCATGAAGAAAACAGGTGAAAACAGCCATTAAACACTTCATTCACACACACAAAAAAGCAACGTGTTTCCCATCCACTAAACCAACTGCATATGCTCAGAAAAGATCCCAACTCAGCATCTGAAACTAATGGGATTGGGGCTAGTTGTCACATAGGGATGCAAAAGACAATAAATGTATGGTTTCAAACACTTTTTAGCTGAATTGAGCTTATAACTACTAAACTTCACAATATTCACACTTTTTGAACTAAATTTACCTGAATAGATACACTATTGTATTTCTAGGGTTACATTTAATTTGAAGGTGTCCTTGTTACAGTGTAATTATACATTAATTACTGAGTACTATTAATTAGCTACATGTACTTACTATATGATTAGTGTTTGGTTTAGGGTTACTTGCATGTAATTATGCATAATTTGTTGTTATTATAATAGTAAGAACATGTAACGTGTAACAATGACACCTTGAAATAAAGTGTTACCTCTGCTTTCCAGAAATTGTATCAAAACTGAGCAACAGTTATAGGTCTGCTGTTGTTTTTCGTTTATGAAGCTGCTTTGAAACATTCTGTATTGTTTAAATATATTATAATTTATGTTAATTTATTATTGTAACAAACGGACATCATAAAATCACACTGGCATGCAATTTGCTGTTGATCAGAACAATTAATTGATAATTTTGTATGTTAGCTTTTACGCGTTTGCGGCTTATTGTTTCGACCTTTAACAGTTTTATTTATATATTTCCAACAGCTATTCTTCTCAATTCAGTGTCAACAACCAGAAAGTTGCCAATGGGACAACGCGATAATGGTAAACGAAGCTCTTCTTAAAGGCTATATTTCCCATACAAAATACGGACCTACCTTCTAAACTAAACTAGCAGCGAGAAACATTCACTCTTGGTGGCTCTTACCTGCAGGTGTTTGAATAACGCGGTGATCTGCGTGATGTGAAGCGTCAGGCAGCGCGAGACGCAGCGCGCGCTTTCAGTCTTCTCCAAGGTATCCGCTTCTTCGGTCCGGCGCGCAACGCTCGCTTCAAAAACACAACAGAGCAGAAAGCAGCAGACCTTCCTCATTAACACCATCTTCAATGAGGACGTTCACGTAAATGTGCGTTGACGGTGGTGCGGCTGAATGCACTGGATGCGCTTCAGGCTCGTGCTGAATGCTGTGCGCGCTGGACACTCCCTCTCGCTCGCGCAAACCTGTCATCTGAACTCAGCTCATTCATAGTCTGTCAGTTTTGTGTTTAGATCTAAAAACGAATTTAAACCATGTTTTAACGAGAAACTTTCAAGAGTCTGAAAACTGGCACTTTATGGCTCACCACTGGACAGTAAAGCAACGTTGATTTATCTTAAGATGGAACATCCAGGTATAAATGACGTTTGAAAGGTTATGAAAATAACATGGAAGTAATGGCAGAATACACTTTTCTTTAATTGTGTTCCCACATTTATAATAACAGAATTGGAGTGGATTTATATTCCCTGCTGAAAAAAAACAAAAAAAACAATAGAAACCATCACAGAAATTCTAATGGTTTCCACTACAAATACACATACAAATTTACAAACCATCAACTTTTAACCATTAAAACCAGTAAAAATGGTTTCCTGTAGTGTGTTTTAGAACATATTCTTGAATATTGAAGAATATTCCCATTAGGATTTAGTGGTTTTAGACACCAATAGAAGGCGACCAATTACCAGTAGAAACCATAACAGTTTCCATTAAAAGCAGTAAAATTCCCATTATAACCAGTAAAACCATTACACATTCTCTGATGGTTTCTATTGTTTTTTTTTCAGCTGGTTCCAAATGAATCACTTAAGTGACTAATTTAATTGAGATTAATTAATCGAGAATGAATAAAAGACAACACATTGGCTTTATTTTAATTTCTGAGGATCTCTAAATCTTCCTTTATGTTATTGTTTTTATGTTATTGTTAAATAGCGAGTCATAATTATAACTCTTTTGCGATGAACGTCTCGGAAACAATGCAAAAACAGTGGCGCATGAATGAGATAATAATAATAAATATCAAAATACCAATGTATACCACTGTCCTGACATTTTGATGACCATAGATACCTTTGACCGCAAAACCTGTTTCCATACTGGATTCAACCTGCAGTATCCCTGCGTCCCAACGTGCATACTATCCACCCTATCTGACCTGAATAGTACTGAATAGAATTTAGGATGGATAGTATGCACATTGGGACGCGGCTCTGTGTCCATCCACAAGGATCTGAATGGAAATTTGTGTCGCATCTTTGCAATACCAGCGCCATCTTCTGATCGAATAAAGTATAACTACTGCATGAGAGAGTATATAGCCAAAAAAAAACTCCTCTCAGGACCTAAATATCGACCTTCCTCTAAGTTAGGTCTATCTCTAAACAAACACACATGAACTAGCCAATCAAGGTCTTTATTTTCATAAGAAAATTAAAGAGGTTTTGTGTGGAACTCAACTCTGCTGCAGATGACTGGTCTTCACAAGGAGAAATGAGCATTCCTAAGGTAGAGTGTTTATTTGTATTTTAAATATTGATTCTTCTTCTTATATTTTCGTTTAAAGTGTATATTGTGAATCAGTTTGGATAGGTTTGGAGCCTGTAGACTATGACACACACATGCTGTTTACATCACAGTGAGGTCACACATTGATCATCTTGTTAATGTTTATCGAACCTGATTCCAAAGTCACATTCATCTCCTGGTATAAACGGATGCTAGACTGCATTTGAAATAAACCTGGTTATCCTGTGCGTGATCTCTAATGAGAAAGAAAGATGTTGACTCTGATTTGGATTTTTCTGACCGCAAACATTTTGTGTGTCTCGGGGACAAGTTTAGTTCATGTTCCCTGTGACGACAAGACTGTGGAGAAGTTGTCCCGACTGGTCGTCACGTACGTAAACGAGGACAGACAAACAGGTTACAAATTTGCCCTTAATAGAATCACAAACGTCCAGGCGCATCAACAGGTTGGTAAACAGTGCTGTCATTTTCACCAGTGGAAAGGCGACCACACCATTCATAGATCCACTCATATTGATCAATTAATTGTTTTTACAGATTCGAAGCCAGACTATATATGTATTTTTCATCTTTGCAAGAACCTGTTTATTTCATAGGTTCACTTTCCTGTGCTGTAGGGTCCAGCTGGAAAGGTCTATTATCTTGATTTAGATGTCCTTGAGACCAAGTGCCATGTCCTCAGTCCCAAATCGTGGAAGAAATGTGCTATTAGACCTTTCATGGAAACAGTAAGGCTTCAGCTTCAGTTATTTGCTGCTACTGTACATCTTAAAGTTTGGATTGAATATATGGCCTCTGGTTGACAGTGTAGTAGTGTTGTTTACCTCGGTTTAAAATTCCATCTGGTAAATTCACAAATATTGACCATGGGCTTAAGATTAACCAGCAGAACATTTTCCATTAACATTTTTCACTGCATGCAGCTCTATTATGACCATTTAACGGATGCAAATCTGGACCTCAGACTAAAATCTCTAGCTTTGTTTAATCTATTATTGCACTTTAAAACCTGTGCTTTGCATTGTGAAAAAGAGGCAAGTGATGGTGGCGAAAAGTGGCTTTTTTAAAATGAGAAACATGAGAAAAGCTCACACGAATAGTGATACATCATGACTAATCCAACTTCTAACTCATATTAATCCATGAAGTAACTCAGTGCAGATGTTTCACAGAATCTGGTTTTAATATGTCTAGAAAAGAGTAAGAAAAAAGGGTGTTTTAGGTTGGTTTATGGACAATTTATGTTTCCTGTGTTGTAGCAAATCTCTGGAAACTGTAACACCACAGTGCTCCACACACCTGAGGGCTTCTCTTACCTCTACAGCTATGACTGCACACTCGTACCAGGTCAACCAGTTACTTCCATTTCTTTCTGCACGCATTTGCAGGAGTTCCCTGCAAAATAGAAATCTCAAAATGTGAACCTTTTAGCTTATGTAAAACTAGAATGGAGCTGCAACTAACAATTACTATGATAATTTATATAAAAAAATAAATGTGCATTTCATGCATCTCAAATCCAGTAAACAGCACACGCATGCATCAAAGCACATGACAGAGCAGGATATATTAAACTATGCTCTTGTTTGAAGTGTTTAACATAAAAGATTCTCAGTATGTGTTTTGTCCGTAGACATGTGCCATTTACTTCTGGGAAGTGACATGACTCAAGTGCACAGACAAGATTAATCAATCCTCAAATTCATTGTTCATTATCTTTTATTATAGATTTCATGGATTAGTTGGTGCAGCCCTCAAGTAAAGACTCAAATCTCCAAGTCTAATCATATTTCCAAGCCAAACAGTAAAATCATATTTTTGGTTGAAAGATGCTTATAATCTAATCATATTAGAAAAAGGACCACATTAATAAAATGCAGGGATGTCTCAGAAGTAATTTTATTTACTGCTTAATAGCGATTACCAGTTCTGTTTAACAGCAAGGACCACAATGGAAATAAGTCTTTGAATTTATTGACAAAAAAGGTTTGAGGACTTGCTTTTGTCAAATAAACTTATTAAACTACTGCAATGCTTCACTGCTGTTTTAACAAACGCAACTTCCAATTTTTCTTTTATCCTACTCACTTAAAGAACTAATCTCTCTACTTTCCTTCTCCAAGACCCTCCAGAGAAGTTACGCTTGACGTGTCCAGACTGTCCTCTGCTGCTGCCGGTCGACAGTAATGAAGCCATCGCTGCAGCTCGGACATCCCTCCTTAAATACAATAGACAGAGCACGCTTCCTGTTAGCCTGACTGTGAACACCATCACCAGAGCCTCCCATCAGGTAGCAAAAGATGACAATTCATCAGTTTTTCCCAATTTATTAAGCGGTGTTGTCACTGAGGTTTGCCATGTAACACCATAATACTGGGTTATATTGTGAAATTTTACAGGGGGAAACATCATGAATGAAAATTACTTGACAACAGTAATTCCTATACAAGTATCCTAGCCTTAAATAATGTAAAGCATAGTCACATGAAGGCATCTTAGATGGCATGCAGCAAGCTTTTTTTGTGATCTGTTATGTGAACAAGCATGCCTACTTTTCATATGGTTGCCAACAGGGGCGTAGCCATCATTTCAGAAGTGAGGGGGACAGAAATGTAAAAAAAAAACACACTTTGGTACACTTTACTTTAAGGTGTCCTTTTTACACGTTACATGTACTTACTATTACAATAACAATACATTATGTATAGTTGCATGTAAGTAACCCTAACCGCAAGCATAATTACACTCTCGACTCAAGTGCTTTAGGGTCTAAGCTGATTTAACCTGTAACCGGCCCACACCCTACCCCTCACAGATGTGGGGAAGGAGTGGGATCGAACCCTAACTGACTCACGCCTTAAACTTACCCCTTACAGCTCTAAGGGTGGTGGAGTTTGACCTGGGGCAGACTCAGGTCCTAGCCCTATCTCTCACAGAGCTAGGAATAATAAGATAGTCTCAGCTCTAGTCCTTTGATGGAATGCGATGCTGGATCAGGATTATCAGGCTGTGACCTTTTTGGATTACGGTTTGGTTCGCTGGTCTGGAACAAGTTCATTCAGGAACTTTGCATTCCCACGGCTGGTTGGGTCTAAATCTAGGCCTGAACCGACCCTCACCCTAAACTTAACCTTTGTAGACGGATGATTTAAAAACCTAGCCTTTCCAACACTTGTGCCAACGCCCAGATGGGCTACTCTACTAGACAGGAGAAAGTCACAGCGGATATTGTATGGTCTAGCATGGTGTTGGGTTTCCTGACACTTAACTCTGGCCAGAGTCATCGGACCAGGCCATACCATATTATGCACATGACCATTTCATGGGTCTCACTAGCACCGGTTTCTGCATATTCAGCCTTAAACGCTCGAGCCGTTCTCTGGTAAGTAAAATGGAATCTGAGTAGGCTAGAAACTGTCTGAGCATCTGGAAAATTTGGGTGAACATCCTTCTTGACTTCAAACAAAGTTTCTTGGAATGCAGTGCTGGACCAGGATTACTGGGTTGTGACCTTTTTGGGTTGCAGTCTGGTTCGCTGGCCTGGAACAAGTTCAGTCAAGAACTTCACGTTCCCAGATCTAGTTGGATCTAACCCTG